TAAAGTTGAAATAATAAAAAAATATTTATTTACTTTAAAAAATAAAAAATTATAATTAATTTAAAATAGATTTAAAATAAAAAACCATTTAATAAAGAGTATTACATATATTTAATTAATTTTATAAATATTCTTACCGTTTTTCTTGATACGAATGATATAAGTAAATAAAATATTAAATTCTAAATACATTAAATTGAACAATTACAACTAGCTTATAGTTTTTAAGTTTTTTTTTTCCTGAATAAAATTGAAACTAGAGAAAGAGCTATAAAATAATTAATTAAATTATTAGAAAAAAAATTTTCTTCATTTGTATGACCATCCTATTCTCCCAACTAACATTTTTCTTTTTAGAGTTTTTTTTTTTTTTTGGAACATTAGGGAATTTTAGAGATAAGGGATATTTTTTTAAGTTATTGATTAAAATTAAATTTCTGATCAACTAAAATCAAGTACTTAAAATTTGAGGTTAACTATTGAATTTAAACGGCTCATTCCTCCTTTTAAGGATTTTATCTAGCATGTTCCATTAACAAAAATTGAAACTATAAAAAGATTTATTAACCCACGTAAAAATTAACGTACGTTGCATTAATGTGAATGAATCGGAACACATTATTTTAACATTGTTAATGTGAACCAAAAATAAAAATAAAAATAGAAATAAAAATATTATTATTAAACGTTGTTAATGTGAATATTCATTTCTTTTTCCTAAAGGTATCAGAAATGGAGAAATCGATAGCTAAAGGAGTTAAGGTGCCAGAAGTTCAAATCACAACATTGATGGAGATGCTCATGAGACAAGCAATCAAATTGGATAACATTGCTGCTGAGGGAGATGCTTGTGCTCAGAAAAGTTTGCAGGTAATTCACAATAACTTCTAAATTCCCAAGTTTTTAATTTTACCGTTTTATAACTTAAATTTAAAAATTTTTAGGGAAAGCGAGTGCAAAAATGTGTGGAAACACTAGATGTGTTGAAGATTTCAAATGCTAAAGTGAAGCCTGTAATTGTTACAACAAATTGGGAAACCTTTGATCAGTCTCCGGCAACGGCACAGTGGGAGCTTTTTGATTGAACTCTACTCTCCTTTTTTTTTTTTTTTTTTTTT